AAGAAAGGGCTTGAAACAAAACAAATCCATAATGAGGTCAGCTCATGGAAAACAAAAGAGAAAATGCTCCTCATTGTAGTGCTACTACTGAGACAGAACAGGAACGAAGCAGGATAGCATAAGCTATACCCTGTGTTCATAAAAGGAAAGAGATTTTGGTGTAGTGGTTACGGCACTGGATTATAAACTGGGAGACCATGAGTTCTAGTTCCACCGTAGGCACAAAGTCAGTTGTGTGACTTTGAACCAGTCACAGTCTCTACCATGGGAAGCAGGCAATGACAAGCCACTCCCAAAAGCAGAGGTCTTCAAACTTGGCAGCTTTAAGACTTGTGGACTTCAACTCCCAGAATTCTCCAGCCAGCTGGCTGGAGAATTCTGGGAGTTGAAGTCCACAAGTCTTAAAGCTGCCAAGTTTGAAGACCTCTGCCCAAAAGCCTTGCCAAGAAAATTGGATTAGTCCAGGCAGTCATAAGAAGTCAACACCGACTTGAAGGCACCCCACCCACTCCTCCCCACCCCAAAGTCAAAGGAAGTCAATTTGAACAACCAACATATCTTGTTATTTCTGGCACACATAATCTCCATTCTGCCCTAGGATCAGTAAAAGCCACCTCAAATCGAGGAAGGGAAATCTTTCTTCCCTGCAAGCCAAACTTTCAAGATTGGCTCAATTTATGCTAAACCAAGTATGAATCCAAAAGCTGCATGTAATCCTGACGCACGGTAAATACAAAGGTAGTTTTTCAGAAAGAAGCACCCCTCTACCCCACTCTCTCTTCAAAATGCTTTCTCCTGGCACAGATATATCCCGCCCCACCCAACCAAAAACCAGAAAACTTCTTGGAGGGACGGGCGGTCTATTCTTTTTCAAAGTGCCATCACAAAAATAGCATGAATATGCGCTTGCATTAAAAGAAGTGTATTACAATGGGGATCTTGGTTAATTGTATGATGCATTGTACCAACTATGTCCAGCATTCAAGAAATTGAAATCTGGATCCTAATGCAGTCAAGCCTCTTTAAAGATGCAAATTGGAGTCAAACACCGAAAACAGTAGGGTTCTCTTGATCCTTTCACAAAAGGTGCAAAGGACTAATCAGACTCCATTGCTAGGCTGGCCACGTTGTTTACAATAAACAGGAAGAGAGTTAGGCTGTAATTTCCCCACTTAATACTTGGACAAAAGCAATGGCTGGCAGCCTTCACATATTTAGAGGTGCAGCTCATCAAAACATTTCCTTCAAAAAAGTGAAAAAAGCATTAGTGGATTCTAGGCTTGTTGAGGAGCCCTATCTTTGGGCATTCTTATAAAAGCATAAGTCCTGAGCCCCACTTCTGGAGTAACCTGTGAATCAGGCAGGGTTGGGCCAGGGATAGATTTTGTACTTCTCCTAATACTGCAACATACTTCTCTGCATTGATCTCCGTTAAATTTGTATTTAATAAATTAAATACAATTAAATTAAAAGTACACAAACCTGCAGAAAGGAATAGAGTGGGATGATATGTAAAAAGATAAAAACTGGAGGGCTGCAGTCTCAGCTTTTCAGCCTGAACAGACATCATGGCCAAATAGGAAAAATGGATTTGGTGGTCCCCACATCCCCGGCCTTGTCAGGTGGTCTGGCAGTGGATTTGTACATGTGTTGGTTGAACAGGATGGCGATGCTACATATTTAACAGGGTCAATCAATCAGAATAGAGCTTGGAGGTTTTCTAGTCCAACCCTCTGCTCAATCAGGAGACCCTATACCAGAGGTCTTCAAACTTGGCAGCTTTAAGACTTGTGGACTTCAACTCTTAGAATTCTCCAGCCAGCTATGCTGGCTGGAGAATTCTGGGGAGTTGAAGTCCACAAGTCTTAAAGCTGCCAAGTTTAGAGACCCCTGTCCTATACCATTTCAGACAGATGGCTGTCCAGTCTTTTCTTAAAAACTTGCAGTGATGGAGCACCTACAATTTCTGGAGGCAAGCCGTTCCATTGGTTAATTGTTCTCACTGTTAGGAAGTTTCTCCTTAATTCCAAGTTGCTTCTCTCCTTGATTAGTTTCCATCCATTTGGAAAATAAGTTGACCCCCTATTCTTAGTGGCAGCCCCTCAAATACTGCTATCATGTCATCCCTAGATCTTTTTTTCCCCTCTAGACAAGCCATACCCAATTTCTGCAACCTTTCTTCATATGCTTTTGTCTCCAGGCCTTTAATAATCTTAGTTGCCCTTCTTTTGCACTTTTTCCAAAGTCTCAACATCTTTTTTTGTAATGTGGTGACCAAAACTGGATGCAGTATTCCAGGTGTGTTCTTAATAAGGATTTATAACGTGGTATTAATACTTCATGTGATTTTAATTACGGTGTAGGTTTCTGAACTCCTGGAAATTACCAAAAAAAAAAGCAAATAACATCCAAGCTGTAATTAAATTAGAGATCCAATTTACTACATGCCCTGAATTCCAAATAGAATCTCTTTCTTGTATATCTTCAACTTATTCCAAAACTTGCATGACCCGAGACGTAGAAAGCACTACAGCATTACATACAATGACCTTGTATTACTCTCTGCTCTATTGTTTTGAAGTACTAAATCACTGCAATACCTAAGTACCCACCACAAGACTATATAACCAAGTAGACAGCAGTGGCTTTGTCTGCTTTAACATAGAGAAATGATGGGTGTGAATGAAGCCTCACTAAAATAAAGTCTTTTAAAAATAAATGTTTTTTTTCTTATTTTCAGAGAGCAAATGTATTACTATTGTTCAAAGTTGAGGCTTTTGATATAATGAATTACGTGTTTGCCTCTGCTGAAGTAAGTTAACTTTGCTTTAAAAGGAAGGACAAGATCATGAAGTTGCAGAAACAGAAAATATTCCCTTCTTCCAGTCAGGCTCTTTGTCTGTGTCCAAGGTTCTGCCATTAGGCACTGTGGAGCAGCTGCTGCAAAAATTAAACAAATAACAAATATTTATGAGATTTACAGGCGGTCCCAATCTGTTATGACTTTGGTTTTACAATTTTACTTCTGAGAGACGGAGGTGAGGATCCTAAATCAAAATGCTTCTTGATTTTCTGCTTCAGGTGCCAAAATAACTTGAACAGCATACAGTATTAAAACAATTTGAAAAGAAGGGACCATAATTTAAATCTCTAACTTAATTAGCTTTGCGGAAAGTTCCACTAATGTATTTTTTCAGGTATGACAAAATTTAATGCTTCTTCCTCCACTGCTTTGCTATGTAAGCTCCATTACTACTATCATAGTTCTGGTATGTTGGGGAAAAAATGAGAAAATAATTGTTTGCCGGCTTTGTTGTTAGTATTTAAAAAAAAAACAAAACCCTGTAACTTCAAGTTTTCATTTTAAATTCTCAAATCATACCAGCCTCAAAATTACAAGGATAAACAGTTGCTTACTCTGCTGTCCTAATGCAAGGCATGTTATCTTGGGAATAAGCATGAGTTTAAGAACAGAATAAGATTTTAAGAGTAAAGATAATCAAAAGTGTATCTGCAGGTATGCAAATATTGATTGGCTAATTCCCACTCACTCAGACCCAATATTCTCTCTCCATCTCTCAGCTTCCTTATCTTGTGCAAGATGCCTAGAGACATTTACTATATGGGCATTCATTAACTGCCTTGGTGGCACAGCGGACTAAAGTGCTGTTAAGTAGCACTTAGCTGCCAGCTGCCAGCAATTACTGCAAGTTCAAATCTCACCAGGCTCAAGGTTGACTCAGCCTTCCATCCTTCCGAGGTAGGTAAAATGAGGACCCGGATTGTGGGGGCAATAAGCTGACTTTGTATAAAAAGAACACCGCTTGGGGTGGTGGGGGCGAAAGCCCTATTAAGCAGGTATATACAAAAGTATGAAGGCTATTGCTTAATGCATTGTGAGCCACCCTGAGTCTCCGGAGAAGGGTGGCATATAAATCGAACCAATAAATAAATAAATAAACTCATTAAAAAACTTAAATTTAAGGGCGCAGTTTAATCTTTATTTTCTGCTATGATCAACAATGTAAGCCCCTTTCCATCCCTTTGGAGCTTAAAGAACATGGAACATGTTGGTCTAGCAAGATGGCCAAATTTGAAAGCCAGCTGCTGTCCATGAATCACGTATTGGTGCTTGACAATTATTCAGCCTGGGGAAGACCATATCGCATCTTATATCCCCAAATGATCAAAAGCATATGGGCATGGTCATCAACATAGAGACTTGCATCAAGTCAAGCCATTGGTCTGTTAACATGGAGTTGACCCCATGGAAGCAGGAATCTGTGACCTTTTAATGAACAATTCTCAGTAGCTGCAGCCAACATGGCCAATTGTGACAAATGCTGAACATGTTGTTCCGCAAGTAATATGGACAAAGCTTTCCCAACTGTAATCTGAACTGACTGACAGCCATTCCTCAGGCTTTCCAAAAGGCTAAACAGAAAAGATGTTTCTCCTGCTAAAGGTAACTGGCTCAGATATAATATGGGGCAAGTGGTTGTGTTTAAGCTTGTGTCATCATCAGTTTTCTACGCTTTTGTTTTAATAAAAAGTCTAACACACAATAACAGAAGAATGCATTTAAAGAGCTGGTTGTCCACAAGAATGGCTTATTAAATGTACTTAGGCATTTTATTCATGACATTCCAAGTAATCTTTTTGACTGAATCCCCATCAGTGGATTTTCAATCACTCTAAGAAGGTCATATTGAAAAAAAAATCTGTAACATGAGTTCCTCCCTTAAAACAAAGCACCCTAGAATTAAATAGATTATTCTGGAATTAATTAAGAATAAAAGTCTGACCTTGAAAACTCCATAAACTGTCACATGTATTGTTACTATTGCCATTCAGAAGTAGCAGGATGTCTATAGCCACACGTAGATTAATAATGCAGTAGAAATACTAGTCTTTATGAAAACCTGTATACTCCAGCTGTCTTCTTGGATAAGAGATGCCCTGCAGAGATCGTACAGATCACCTTGTTTCTGCTTTAACAGATTGATGCTTGGATCTGTCAAATCTGACGGAAGACTTTTCCCCAGGCTACAGAACCTTTGAATAATGGTAAGACGCCTAAGAAAATAGTACTTTCTTTGCAGTGTTCTGTATCTTTTGAAGAGCTGAGATTTGACCATGGGCATACATATGATTAATCATTAATTATATTTTCCTTAGATATTACAACAAAGAGAAAACAAATAAAACAAAAGTCTTGTAAAAATTCATTATTCTCTCTCCTTGCTGAAATTCTTACAATAAGTTAAGAAAAATACCTCATATAGACAAATAAACAAGCATTTGGCTTTGTGATAAATCATCAGATTACACAAGAAAATGACTTTGATAAGTGTATCCAAATATTTGCAAAGCCCAATAGAAGCTTTAGCCGCTGGTCCTGTAATCAATAAATACATATGTTCCAACAGGGCCAGCTCCTAGGCACTATATCAAAGGTCCCCAATCTTGGTCACTTGAAGATATGTGGACTTCATCTCCCAAAAGGATGATGTATGGACTTCACCTTTTGGGAGGTGAAGTCCATATAGCTTCAAGTAGCCAAGGTTGAGAAACACTGCCCTATATGACTGAGACCCTGAGAACAGAGACCCTGCTTTGACCAAGGGGCTGACAAAAGATACTGAGTGTACTGAGATATGTGCCCCAATTCTTCATGAAACTACATAAACATTTTATGTCATTCTTTCCAGAAGTAGCCAATTTGATTTTAATTAAAGCAATGTCAATAAAACAGTTTGCAGATAATTTGTGGACAAATCTGCCACATTCTGATAGCTCAGGGCAACTTGCATCTGAAGAAGCACTCAATGTAGCTCTATCTTTAATCATGATTTGCTCCCATCTATTGACATGAGATGTTTCAGATTCAAATTCCAAAGAAAAGCTCAAATGGGCAAGCTGGTACACAAGGATTGTGGAGTAGATCCTGGACCCAAGAAGACAATGTCTCTAGCATCATTTCTAGGTAATGGCTGCCATCTTAGAATGACCTGCTAAAGACCATGCTTACTTCCAAACTAAATTTCATTCCACTTGAATAGCTTAGGACTGGGGTATCTTCTGCCACCAATAGCCTCTCACCGACCAGTATGCTCCCATAGAGAAGGTTTTCTCAGAGTGCCATCAGTCAAACAATGTCGACTGGCGGCCCCCAGGGAGAGAGCCTTCTCTGTGGGGGCACCCACCATCTGGAACGAGCTCCCCCCGGAGATACGGAGGATCCCAGATCTGCGCACTTTCCGCTGCGCCCTCAAAACATTCTTATTCCAGCAGGCTTGTCTGCCCTAACCTCCCTTTTTAATTGCTTTTAAATTGATTTTATCATTGGGGTGTTTTAAATCTGGCCAAAGTATTTAATGTATTTTAAAATGGTTTTTAACGTTTGTATTATGTATATTTTACTTTTTTGGCTGTTCACCGCCCTGAGTCCTTCGGGAGTAGGGCGGTATATAAATTTAATTATAAATAAATAAATAAATAAAAATCAAATTTGAATCCTATTGAAAGCCTCACATTAATATAATGGGGAGAATAAAGGCAGAAGTTTAGCACCCTCATATTTTGTTTTGCAGCTCCCCACAGGCTGCATTATTTGGCATTACATGGAATTAATTAAATACAGGGAGGAGGATTACCTCGCATGCATTTAATAGTTTTTATCTTGCCTGAAATTAATAAGTACTGTTCACTGGCAAGGACCTGAGTCATTTGACAAGATCTTGAGATCTGAAGTTGCACAAAAAGGTAGTTTGAAAACTCCTGATTATTCTGGGAGATAAGAACTAACTGCAAGGCTGCTGTGCAAAATGAACATTTCATGTCACTATACCGTTGCTGCACAATTGAGAAATAAACCTGTTCGCCTGCATGATATATAGATGTCATGTTCAATTATGCTGGTACTTAATTGTATAATTCTTGTTTCTCTTTAAAAAAAAAAAGGCGGGGGAGGATGCATCTTAAATATGCCCGTGACATCAAGCCAAAAGAAACATCTGTAATTGCTGTACATCAGACAAGACAATTGGTTCCTCTCGTTTAGTATTATCCAGTGTGGGAGCACAACGGTTTTTTTGGCTGAAGGCCACATTTGGGGTGGTATCCTTGGGACTACAGGAATGGGGCTAGGACAAGGATCCCCAATCCCCAGGCCATAGCCTGGTGGTACCAATCTGCGGCCTGTTGGGAACCGGTCTGTGCCATCAGCTAGCAAGAGTGTGAAGTTTCATTTGTGCATATGTGTAGCTAGGTAGCATGCATAAAGCCATCCCCACCCCCGTTACTGCTGCTTCTGCTGCCAATCCAGAAAGCTAGAAAGGTTGGGGACAGCTGAGCTAGGACACAAACTAGAATTAAATAAAGGACAATTAAAAGTTAGGTCCTTTACACATGGCCATTTGCTGGTGGTTTTGGAAAGTCTTTGAGGGTTATACCCAAAACTATAAATGATCATGGGGCCACAGGTTATACAATTTAGTCCTCCAGGTTTCCGAAAAGGCATTTCTCTCCCTTTCTTGATGATCTACAGATTGGGAACTTTTCCATATAAAGAACATGCTACATTCCTGAGACAATGGATGGAAGGAATCTATTCTAAAGGAAGTGACAGCTATTATTTTACAGTTGTCTGTTACTGATTTATCTTCCAGCCATTTAACATCATCAGTCTGCAGAGTTCCACGTCATCGTAACCCCCATTCCAAAAGCAGTTGTGTTTACTAATTGTGGGAACTACGGTATTTGCTTATAGCTTACTGAAGTAACCAAAGAGGGCTATAATGTCACAGGCCTATTTTTAACATCCTAGATATTTTTTGCTATGTGGCCTTATACAGGACCTGCTAATACGATTTTACTTCTTTAAAGGACTCAACTATAACAAAAGTACACTGTCACTGTGTACACTGTCATAATTTTAAACTGTTTTTAATAGGGTTGCTGATTTTAATTTTATTTCATTGTGATTTGTATTGGAATTTGTCATTTTGTAAGCCGCCTTGAGTCCCCAGGGAGAAAGGCGGCATATAAATCGCAATAGTAATAAATAATAAATAAAAGGAAGAAATTGTCCTAAAAAAGTAAGCATTCTCAAAGATGTGATGGTTTGATTCCTAAAGGCATGAATAATGAAGTCTCCGTTGAGTCCATTTTGGAAGAAGAAAGCAAGCAGAAAGCATTGACAATGATCTACTTGGCAATTGGCAAGAAAAGTCTCTTTTCATTTAGTATGAGGACAAAGTCTAAAAATCCCCCGCTCCCTTGCATCTGAATCATCAAGTATTCAAAATTACAATTATATTAATATTATGGCTACTTTAATACAAACATACACATATTTCCCAGAAAGTGCTTGTATATTCAATTCACTATATATTAATGTATATTAATATTAATATATTAATGTAGGGACGTGGTGGCTAGGTGGCTAGGATGCTGAGCTTGTCGATCAAAAGGTTGTCAGTTCAGCAGTTCGAATCTCTAGTGCTGCGTAATGGGTGCGCTCCCGTTGGACTCCCATTCAATAATTGAGTCCAACTTGCAAGGAACACTAGGGAGAAGAGATTCTTAGGGAAAGATTTTATGTACTTCACTTTTATATAGGAGGAGAGGAAAAATACTATGTGGCTGCTTTGTGAAATTTGTACTGAACTGCTGTGGTACTTTCATCAGTGGTGTTTGGACTGGCTCGCAAGAGCCGGTAGTAAAACTGGCGGGAGGCCCCGCCCACCACCCCGGATGTTGTCATCGGTGATCTGCGCATACGCAGAAGCTTCTGCACATGCGAAGCAAGGCATGCGCACGAGCAAAGCCAGCGTGCACGATCCCGTTGCGAACCGGTAGTAAAGGTAAGTAGAACCCACCCCTGAATTTCATCCTTTATTTGCAGAAGAGATTGGCAGAAGAAACGCACATAGTATAGTGATCCCAACTTGGCTTCAATTCATGGTTTCATTACATTGTATTATACCTCACGGTGACATATTAATTTCATCAAACTCAACAGATAACATGTTCATTACCTTTCTATTTAGAGCAACACCATCTTCACAATCTAGCACTGCACAATCAACGTTGAGAGTTGGGATCTTCTGTATCTTTCTTACATCATCTGCAGGCACATAGAGAACAGCTCTCCGGGGTATGTAGTTACAAGATGGTGTCACATGATAGTGAACCCTGGGACAAGCTACAGGTAGGAGAGAAGTGGCCCTGTAAAAAAGAGTTTTCCAGTTATTGATCTATATGGAATATATTGCTGCTCACCCCACAGAATCCCAAAGCAGTTCACAATAATGCTAAAGACCAACAATTATTCACAATAAAAAATAGAGTTCAAAACAATCCTTTGGAAAGCAAACATTGACACAGTGGGAGGGTCTTTAACAGCAGAAGGGGAAAAAAAGTGGGGTTAAAAATTGCACTGGCTAGTTGACTGACAATATTAAGCAACTTTTTTTCTTCTTAAATGGCTAGAGTGCTTGCTTTATTTAGTGATAAAGCTTAAATCTCATTATTCAAATTCCACTTTTCAAAGAACATTGCATAAGACTGGCAAGATCTTACAAGAATGAAACCCAAGACTTGGTCAGTTGAGCATTCTATTCCTTCAACAGTCAACCAGGTGTCTCTGAAATTCCCACCAGAGAATTCCTTCTTGACCATGCCTTCGAAAGCATCCCTTTCTCAGTACCAGACATAGTACCTACATATCTTTTGCTCTGGGAAGTTGCCCATCTTCCTTCTAAAGCTATAAAACAGATGTCCCTCCTGCTGAGTGATTTCAAGTTACTTCATACTTTACCCTTCTTCAATCTCAAGCCAAAATGTCTGATGTAATTGGGAATTTTTTTTTGAAAATAAAAAGATCTGTGGTAACACTGGCTTGGAACATTATAATGTGCAATTTGGACAATAAGTTGATCAGAGCTAATTCCTAGAGGTGAAAGAAAAATTATATCAGGAGAGCTGCTATCACTCTCTTGGTTCCTATTTTTTAAAATATAATTTTTTAATTAAGAATTTTAATTGCAGTATAAAAACTAATGCAAACTAAAGTTAAAAAAGAAAAGAGAATGGAAAGAAAGAAAGAATAAAAAATATAAGAATAGAATAGAATAAAATAGAATTCATTATTGGCCAAGTATGATTGGACACACAAGGAATTTGCCTTGGTGCATACACTCTTGGAGTACATAAAAGAAAAGATACATTCATCAAGAATCATAAGGTACAGCACTTAATGATAGTCATAGGGAAACAGTCAATATAAATCTTAAGGATACTAGCAACAAGGTTACAGTCATACAGTCATAAGTGGAAGGAGATGGGTGATGGGAACGATGAGAAGATGAGAAGATGAATAGTAGTGCAGACTTAGTAAATAGTTTGACAATGTTGAGGGAATTATTTGTTTAGCAGAGTGATGGCGTTCGGGAAAAAATGTTCTTGTGTCTAGTTGTTCTGGTGTGCAGTGCTCTATAGTGTCATTTGAGGGTAGGAGTTGAAACAGTTTATGTCCAGGATGCGATGGGTCTGTAAATATTTTCACAGCCCTCTTTTTGACTCATGCAGTATACAGGTCCTCAATGGAAGGCAGGTTGGTAGTAAAAAAAAAGATAAAAAGAAGAAAAGGAGAGAACATAATAAAAAAGAAAAGAAATATATAAGGAAATGATTTCCAACCTTCATCACAAGAAGTATAAACTATCCAAGAATGACCTTGGAATATATATTTAATAAAAATGAATAAATTTAGTAAGTCTTCATCTCCTATAAGGTTAAACAGATATCTCTTCATTCCATAACCCATCCATAATCTATAAGCAAATCCATAAAACATCAGCTTTACAATTCTGGTGTCAGCAAAAAGTCCATAAGGGACATTCTCTGTTGTCTTGGAGTCTTATTCTTGAATTCCAAACCACTATCTGAGCTGCTTCCTGTCATTCAATTATGTGAAAAGAGTTGCATCTATGAGGACCATATTAATGTCAATGATGACAACATTCTAATATACCAAATATTCTCCAGAATGACTTCTACAACCTGTAGCAATCGTTCAAATTAAGCACATTTGCCGATTTTAAATAATGCGTATCCTTGGCGTTAGTGCCACCCCTCCCTCTTGCTTGGACAGATTTTACAGATAACGATGGTATGATTTTGAAATGACAAAATCCCATTAAATATCCTCTCTCATGAAAAGAATGACATTTTCCATAAACAACTGGAGCTTGAACAAACACAACTGGCTCTACAAATGAACGAATAAAATAAAAATCCAAATGTACTTTTCCTCGTTCATTGATACAGCTGCAAAACATCTGGATTGTTCTTGCAATCCCAGTTATTGATGTAACATTTTACATCATTCGGCTGTTTTTCACAGCATTAGCAATGATGAATGGCTAAAATAGCCCAGATCATATATGTCTAATTGCATATACATTTGTCCCCATGCACATTTCAATTTACTTCTGGGGATAATGTTTGTTAATTGTACTTCTTTTGTACCCTGGTGGAGGGGAGGAAAAAGCTTCTTACCCATAAAGGGGCTAAGTGTTCTCTTCATTCCCTTTGTTCACACAAGGAGCTAAAGTCACTTCAAGAGGCACTTAATCCCATCATCCATGGTTACAATTGCCTTATAGCTTTAGTCAAAAAGAACCTGAAGTAAATGCAGCTATATTGTATAATTAAAAGAAATTCAGGTGGTTATTTGCCTGAGGCATATTCTTGGTACTAATACATAAAACGACACTCCAGGGATCCTAAATACTGTAGTGTTTTAAACCTGATCAGCTACAGTATCATATAGATCAAGAGGAGGAAAATGCAAAGAGAGAGAGAGAGAAAGGGAGAGAAGAAGAAGAAGAAGAAGAAAAGAGGGGTGTCCGAAGAGCCCCATCTCCTAGTGTGTATTGTAAAGCAAAAGAATAGAGGAGGGTGTTCTACTGTTTGAAGTGACAAGAACTTACAAACATCTACATGAAAGGGAAATAAAAATATCAAGAACATCAGAAAAGCTGGTGTTTTAAAGAAGAGTTCAGTCACTTCCAATAATCAAAAACTAACATCAAGATGAATCATCCCTTTTATTTAGAATATGATGTTTGTTTGTTTTTACTTTTGGAATAAAGGAACTATTATCATATGAAAAATGCAGAAAAGCATCTCTTCTTGTCTAAAGGATTATTGTTATTCTTCTACATCTACTCCTAATCCTGAAAGAGATTTTCTTAAATACTGTTCCACTACTTTTAACAGCTAATTTCAAGGCCATAAATCGCTGGAATTCAAATTAATGAATCACACAATTCACACTTTCAGAAGTTGATTCAAGTAAGTGCAGGAAAAGTAAATTAAGCTGAACGGCAATCATGCCAGTCTAGACATCCAATACAATCTGTACATTGATTTTTTTAATTAAATGTTTACCATGATATTTAAGAAAAACCACAAATCGCTGAATGTGCAATATTTGGATTGCTTGATAGATCCACAAATGGTTCTAAGAGCTTTTAAACTTTTAAAGAAGTAGAACTTTGGAAACAAAAATTTCTATCCTTCATATAAGCTCCAATTTTGATCACGTTTAAGTTTGTATAAAGATTCACACTCAAAAAGGTGGTGGAGAAACCCAGGTTGAGCCTACTGCAAGTCAAATCAGCACTAAGGACAGTGTCTCTATTTCAAGCTGTCTCAGTTCAAATTACAAGGCTCTTGGGAAAATACTCAGTGTGAACAGCTCACACTAGAAGAGTGAAAAGAACTAACAATACTGTTTAAATAATCAAATGAATGACATCAGGTCTTGGCTCTCAAAGGAAGAGACTAGAGTAGGTAGCTGAGCAACCGCCTGCTAGAAAAGCCAAAAGAAGGAGGAGGGGGAGAGATGATCTACAATCAATAGCTAAGGTGGATTGTATCACACCTGAGAATAGCATTTGAAATGTCTGCATTAGACATTCATGGATATCATGTTCTTTAACAGGTATATAACATACTAGGCGAATGCCTACACTGAAAAGTAATTGTATTAATTCATCAAAGACATCATCTAATCTTATTAATATTTTGTGGCATTATTGCAACCTCTCAACTGCATTTTAATTCATCTTAAATTTTCTGATTTAAAAAGGACATCTAATTACATATACATTTGTTCAGAGCGATCTTTCAAGTATTTCTTCTCTTAATGCCATAGTAAAAACAATTCAAAATAAATGCCAGAGAGGAAAAAGAAAATATTTTCAAAGTCATATATGAACACAAAAACCAAAATGTAATTGATACATTTCTAAAAGAATATGGCTCAAGTATTGAATAATGAACTATTATTACAGATAAATAGGCTCATTCTATCAAATGAGCATTAACACTCCTAAAAGCATTAACACTTTTCATTAATTCATTAAATAGGTTATCACTATAATTCTTACTTTGATTGCAAATATTAAGAACTTGTCCATATTTAGTAAAGCAAGTTATGTTTGCTTAAAATAAAAGTAGAATATAAATAAACATGTAACCATGATTATCATAAAACAAGCATTTTAATATATGGAATATCCTAGAGAGCAAGTTGAATTAATTGTATTCCAAATATGTATAAATTTCGGTCTGGTATTTATGAAAGACAACTTTACATAGATTTCTATGGTGTTTTTTTTGTTTTACTTCATTAAGGTCATACTTCATCCTTGTAGTTTTTAAAATATTTTATCCATTAATTAACTGATTTCTGATAAACTGAGATATATTTTTAAATCTGTTGAATTCCTCTTGAGAAAGGGATGAAAACATTGCCCCTATTTTCTAAGACTGAAGCAATAGTGGTTCTTTATTTAGATCCAGTGAAGACTTATTAAGTATTATTTTAGTTCTGTTGTTTATAATTGCTTTAAATGGACTTTTAAATTGCATTATTTTAACTCTGAATTAAGAGGCACTTTTAGTGCTATTGTGCTTTCAAATAATTTTCTGCTGGTTCATCACCATTTTTGGTTTATTTTCTATGATTTTATTCCATTTTTAGAGTAATTGCTGCTGCAACATAATTGGGCCATGATTCTTATCCTTACTTTTCTCACTAAAGACCCAGAATGCAGACAATTGCTTTTTCAAAACAACCCAAAACTGGAATGTTCAATTTGCTCAAGATAAAATCAGCTAAATAACTAAATTATGCCCAGCATGAGAAGAAATATTTTATGTTTAATATTAATTTAAGGTTGATGTAGAAATGAAATTATAAATGTAAAAACATCTGCAAACACTGAATAACAAAGCATCAAGTGTAAATAATCAGGAGAAATAGGCCCTGTGTGGATTAGATCCAATCCACCTTGGATCTTATATTTAGAGTTCAAATCCATCAAAATAACTGATCTGATGCAATTAGTTTGATTCCAGTTTAATTTTTTCTCATGTGTGAAGCTAGCCACTGTGGCTTATAAAGCATGGTTTGTCTTAATAAGTTAAGTAAACCAAATGGGCTTATTTAATAAACCATAGTTAAAAAGCCACACTTTAATGTGATATATGAATTTATGTTCTAAGTTTTACTATAAGCCTGGTTTCAAATTGAACTAAAGTCAGCCTATGTCTTCTTGTTCATCATCAGAATCGGAAGAAATCAGATCAAGACAACAAAAGTTTTATATCAAAGGACTAAATTTTTAGTGGAACTATTAAAATACAAGAACATGAAATCATGGTTTTATATTTATCTATATCTGGGGAATTGGGTGGGGCAATGGCTCAATGGTTAAGTAGCTGAGCTTGTCGGCTGAAAAGCTGACAGCCTAGTTTTGAGACTTGAGCATTGCATGACAGGATGAGCTTCCGTTCTTGCCCCAGCTCTTGTCAATCTAAGAGTTCAAAAGCATGCAAATACAGGTAGATAAATAGGTACCACTTTGGTAGGAAGGTAACAGTGTTCATTGCACCTCAGGAATATTCAGATCTAGCCTTGCTTTTGCTGCAACCACTAATCCTTAGTAAAAGAACCTAGCACTTTAACCAAATGGAATCGAGGGTCTTTCTTTCCTAGGGACCTAGCTGGGGCAGGTCTGACATAAATGGAGATGAATACTATCACCTAGAGTTGGACATGACTGGACAGGGGAAACCTTTACCTTTACCTTTACACCTACATCTATTCAATCACAGGCTCAATGACACTTGTTAGGAATGCTTTATCTTGGATTTCTATGGCAAACCCCCCTTCTCTCTCTCTCTTTCTCTCTCTCATGACTTAAATGATACTTCCAATTTCTTCTCTCCTTTATTTATTTATTTTATTTTTATTAGTCATATTTCTACGCCGCCCACTCTCCGAGGACTCTGGGCGGCTTACACCAAAGACAGTATACTAAATCGCATATTGCCCCCAACAATCTGGGTCCTCATTTTATCCACCTCGGAAGGATGGAAGGTTGAGTCAACCTTGAGCCAGTGAGATTTGATCCGCTGATCTGAACTAGCAGTCAGCTGAAGTAGCTGCAGTACTGCACTCTAACCACTGTGCCACCTCGGCTCAATGCTCCTTTAGGATTTCTAAAGGAGCATGCAGCATTAAGAACTCTAAATTCCAGTTAGACTAGTAGTGAGGCACTGAGAACCTAAATGGTATTATCATCATCATCGTCATCATCATCATCATTATCATCCATTTTCAATCCTTCAGAAATACCCTGTAAGTAGATCAACAGCTTTTCTCAACTCAGATGATGCACCTGAGAAAATAAGACCTTGCAATCAGCATTCAGCATTTACAATTCAATCTACACCGACTTAAGCAATGGGAAGCAATGGTAAACCTGTAACAGAGCCTAACAGCCTTTTAAAAAAGTATTTTCCAAGCTAAGAGCTTGTAGTTTCTGCTTTGGGATTAATACTAACACTAACCTTAAACATAGCTTTGGTCAGTTAAAGGGACAATCATAAAGATAAATGCCTCCTGATTTTTTAAAAACGCTAACCTTAAACATAGCTTTGGTCAGTTAAAGGGACAATCATAAAGATAAATGCCTCCTGATTTTTTAAAAACGCTTAATGAACAAATTAAAAATTCTCTCCGTGCTTTTAATCCAGAGTAGATAAATAAATACTGTTTCTGTGCACAATTATTTTTAAAATAAAACTAAACAGTTAAAAAGGCCAACCTGCTCCCAGAAGCCATTTTGCGTATCAGCTTACAAAGTACACGCGTGTGCACACAGTAGGAGTTTCTTATCTATCTTTCACAGGTGCCATTAACTTATATGGCTGTGATTGCCGCCAGCCACTTCCATTTGGGCAACAGAGCAATACAATAAAACCATTTGAAACTTGAAACTTAAGAACCCAAAGGTGTGCTGTTCTCAGCAGGCCTCGGTTTCCTGGAATCCTCTCTCTTTCCCTTTGAAAAACTTTAATCTAGGGGGAGAATTTCAACATCAGCATCTTCCAGCACCACAGGTGCCTTGTTTATTTATTGGTTTGTTTATTTGTTTGTTTATTATTTCAGGTTTTTTTTTTTTTTAACAGGCAGATCTGCAAAGCCAACCTTCTCTTCTGCACAATGTTTCACAGAGGCTGGGAGTCAAGAAGACAGAGATGAGCATAATTACATTGAAGATACAACTATTTGGCCCATGAAAATTGTGAAAAGGTCCCCTCTTCGCTCTCCAGGGCAGAGGCATTTCAGGCAGTCGCTGTCACTCTCTGCGTGGGCAAAGCGTGGCAATGGCTAACAGATGAATAAGAAAAGGGGCAGAAAGAACACAAGGCGACTGGCAGCTATTCAACTCCAATCTCGCTACTGATGCCCCCCTTCCCCCCCCAATATTTCTGAAGTCCTTGGAAACAAAATCCATGATTTCAACAGGGAAGTAAATTCCAGGGCCTCAAGCAAACGGACAGACTGGCTTCAGGGGGCTTTGGGATGAAGTTTTTGAAATGAACAGCTCAGGTTTTTGATATGTGAAAGAGCTGCCAAAGAGCTTTCTGATAAGGCCTGGGGAATGTGGAGTTGTGGAAGACTCACCTATCATTCGATTGGCACACATTTTCATCAGGCTTAAAGCCAAGGAATCAAAGAAGCTCTTTTATTCAGATCAACATTGTCTACTATGATTGAAACTGCAGCCTAATTCCAGGGAAATTCACTGGGACTTCCATCATGGAAAGCATCTGTCCTTACTAGAATATTTATTTATTTTTATGACATATATTTTTCCTTTTTGTCCATAGGCACTGAACAGTTTTCCTAACACAATGCTCAATTCTTAGATTCCTGGCCATTGTGATCAGGATTCTAAGTGTTTACGGTAATTATGCAAAAGTTAGACAACACTCACATCTAAAGAATTGTTCAAAATTCTTATCACAATTCAGGGCTATCAATTCCGGGAAAGGTTTTTTTATCATCATCTGCCCTAATTCATTCACAACATTTTACACCTGACCAAGACCACCATGACACATACCATATTATATAACTATTCTATTTCCCCCAAAAAATAATCTATATTTTTTCTTACTAGAGGATATCAGTGAGGAAAGAAATTCTTTTCTGATTCTCTCCCTCTTTTTCTCTCCCTCTCTCTCCGCCTCTTCTATTTTTCCCCAAAAATAATCTATATTTTTGCTTACTAACTAAAGGATATCAGTGAAGAAAGAAGGGTTGTCCTTGGAGCAATTTCAGCAGAAAACATTCTAATGTTTGCTTGAAGGAAAAATAATTTGAAAATATAACATGCTATTTAAATGTGCCTTTATGGTTTGTGAAAAGGGACAGTTGTTATTATCTTAGCTACTATTATGAAAAGATTGAAATACGTATGCACACATCCACACCCACACCCACACACCACACAGAGGATCTTATTTATAAGTTGTTCTTCAGAAAAGAAAAAACAATTCTCTCAGAAGTTAAGACAGACATTCAATTCTTTGTTCGCACTGATGCTACGGGTTTTCTCTAGCTTCCACAAAAGGATTATCAAACTTGATAAACCAATTTTGAGTACTTTTTGGCATGAGTGTAAATTTCTCTCATAATGAGAGACTTTTTTTTTTTTTTGCTGTTAATGATTGAATGCTATGTTCCAATTCCTCAGTCGGTACAGATGCTGAACCCCAAGCATCTCACTGCTGAGGGATTTGGTCTCACTTCATCTGTGATTATGACATTATTTTACTCATGTGCTGGGACTCAACTTATTGTCAGGAACAGGCAATTATGGAAGCAACAAACCGGTTGAATGTGGCATCACTATCTAGCAATCTGGGATCTGTTTCTCCCAAAGACCTTTAGATTAAATCAAAGTCAGCATGCCTAGTAATGATGATTAATGGGGAAAAATATAATTGCACCCTTTATATTGTGAAGATAGTAGAGGCTGCAATGATCTTTTGTATGAAAGAAGATGACAAATAGCAAATACGCTTCAAAGCTCAAGCATGTAATCTACAATCTACTATTTGGAAAAAAAATGCTTAGCTTGCATTTAAGGTGACATAAATCTTTACTATTTAGATTTTAATCTACAACACGGCATATTCATTTTAATTTATTCTCACTTTTACCGATAGAGTGGATTTACTGATCAGGAACACTTGTCAATACAGGTAGTTCTTGAATTACAAAAGTTCATTTAGTGACCATTCAAAATTACAATGACACTGAAAAAAGTGACTTATGATTATTTTTCACACTTACAACTGTTGCAACCTCCCCATGGTCAGATGATCAAAATTTGGACTTTTGGCAACTGGTTCATATTTACAACATCATGTGATCCCCTTTTGTGACCTTCTGACAAGCAGAGTCAATAGGAAAGCCAGATTCACTTAACAACCATGTTACTCACTTAACAACTGCAATGATTCACTTAACAACTGTGGCAAGAAAGGTCATAAAAGGGGTCAAAACTCACTTAACAAATGTTTCACTTAGCAACATAAATTATGGGCTCAATTGTCGAAAATCGAGGACTACCTGTACTTCAGTGTTGTTTTGTTAGACCAGTTAGAGGACTATAGGAATAAATAGGAGTATTAATTATTTATTTTGAGGCATTTCTATTCTGCTTTCCTAAATCATAAAGCATAATTATAACTTGTCTTCCATGACAAAATCAAAGGAAATAAGAAAATATTATCAACTGTACAGTATATATTATTAATTGTCTACTGTTCACGATTATTACTGTTCATAAAATATTAATTTTATTTCTAAAACATGGTAATGTACCTAAATTGATTTTCAAAAATGTGGAAGTGGAACCAAATATCCCATGTAACTGGTATGTAGAAAGATGTAAATACGAATCCCATCCAAAATCTCAATTTTTACATGGTCACAATAACTATTACTATTTGAGTAATCATCTCCAAGGTAATTCAAGACTGAAACTGACTACAGTTCTTTTCAAGCCTTTTTTGAATGTGTGTGTGAACTTCAAAGTGGATGGAAGTTCCTCAATCTTTATAACTTCCACACATTCAGAGGATGTCTGGAAGGGATCTGGGCTTGTGCTTGCTTGTATATGAGCATTATTCTCTGTGATCTGGGGCTCCGAGGAAACAAAGCCTTTTGCTGAATGCATGAAAGTCACTGATGAAATGGCTAAATGTTCACTCCTCATCTTTTATGTACTTTCAAGTTCTCACAAGTTCAGGTGAATATCTGAAGGTTTATGAAACTTTACTTAAATGTCCTGCAAAAGTGATCTTTGCCTCCTGCTATGAGGTGTGGTTGAATGGCCAGTACCTGCCCGTCCATCTGGATCTAGAAGTCCCACAGGACCTTTGCCCTGCTCTTCTCCAAGACTTACTATGGAATTTCCCATTTGGACTTGAGAGGGCCCACACACTGTTCAGATACTTCTGCACACAATGCCAGCTACGTGGTTGCATCACTCAGTATACATTGCCTGCATCTTACATCCTGTGTTGAACTGTCTTTGAGGCCCCTCTACATAGTCTGCACTTCAGCTCCTGTCTAGTGAGGTAGACTTTTGTTTCTATGGATCTGGTGCTTAGTGCCTCTTCTTCTGCTGCTATGATCGGTGTCTCAGGACTGTTTTTAGTCCAGCTCTTTCAAGTCACTGGTAGGATTTCCCAATGTTTTAAAGGATAAGTTTAGAAACTAATGGTTATACACAATGAAGACATTTTCAAATTTAGTAGATGGATGCAAAGTTCTCCATACACAGGGATGTGTCATCTACCCTCAGTATTAATTGAAGAACACTCATAGTGAATGTAAATAGACCCATTACATATATAGCTAATAAATGCAAAATATATGAGAATAAACCAAATGCAAACACAAGTTATATTAACTTCTAAAATGCCTGTATTTTTTATATAAAAACTAGGGTCATTTTCCCCAATGTTTCATACATTATTTGTTGTATAGTACTTTGATTTGCATTTTTATATGACCTATGATCTATGACCTATTACCTGCTGTTTATATGTATACTGAGAGCTTATGTTCTAGAGATAAATTCCTTTTGTGTCTGATCACACTCGGCCAATAAAGTATTCTGTTCTGTTCTGTTCTGTTCTGCATATGATTTCTATTCTTACATTCCTTGAGTTGCTATCTATTTCTATCTCCAATGGATATAGCAGTTTCTTACACCTAGATAATTATTTTCAGTTAATCTTTTAAAATCCTAGTTCCAATTCTTCAGCCACCCTATGACCGCTAAGGATTAGGACACAGATTACTTTCTCTCACCATTATCTTGGCTCAGCTGACCCTTGACAGTTTAGATTAGCAACTGCAATGTTATATACAACACAAAAGAACTTATTTCTAAATACACATATACGGTGATATCACTGTTTTCTTCTTTAATTAATATTACCCCGATAATATACAATGGCTTAGTTCTAACAAGTTTTATTTGACTTTATTTGACTAACAGCTTTATGTTTAGAGATGTCTGATGTACAGATAGTCCTCAACCTATGATCACAATTGAGCCCAAAATTCATGCTGCTAAGTGAGACATTTGTTAAGTGAGTTTTGCCCGTTTTATGACCTTTCTTGCCACAGTTGTTAAGTGAATCACTGCAGTTGTTAAATTAGTAACACTGTTGTTAAGTGAATCTAATTTTCCCATTGACTTTGCTTGACAGATGGCCACAAAAGCTGATCGCAGAACTCTAGGAACTGCAGCTATCATAAATATGAACCTGTTGCCAAGCTTCTGAATTTGATCCTTGGGGATGCTGCAACGGTCATAAGTGTGAAAATTGGTCATCAGTCATTTTTTCAGCACCTTTGTAACTTCGAACAGCCACTAAACAAACGGTTGTAAATCGAAGACTACCTGTAATAGCATTCCAAATGTTTGGTCTCATCATTGAATCCAGATGTGACTGAGTCTAAAGGACACACAGAACGGACAAACCCCCTGCTTTTCGGAATTGTGATTGTAACTATCTCCTCATTTAAACCAATAACAATTACTTTAAAACAGAATGTTCCAGAACTCAAGAAATATATAGGTATTTATACAGATATCATGCCATTCAGTTTGCTTTTGAACAGAAAGGTGGGATTTCAATAATAAATACATTTTTTAAAAAAAACCCTCCTTCAAGTATTTTTAACTATTGATGATGTAATGAGATCAGTGTGCAAACAAGTGAATTGTACAAGTTTAGAAATTAATTCTTAAATTCCACAAATAGATACTAATTTAATTATTTGGTAACAGCCTGTGCTCTCTGTGACAAAAACAGGCAATGTGCATGATAAATAGCAATAGTTTAGGAGAAAAATATCTATTTTATTTTTATTTTTTTATTTTTTTTGTGGCTGTCCATCTCATACATAGGTGACTCCAAGTGGCTGACAACATTTAAAAATCCACAATATAAAAGAAACCATAAAAATTCAAATATTGCTTGTGATAATTTGTGAGTAATTGTTATTTAATAGATATAATGGTAGACATTACATTATTATTAGCTAGGGAAAAATCACATCAAACACCCGCTCAGTTAGTACAGGAGCCTCCCAGGACTGTGCGCTTTCCTCATTACTCTTCTCTCTATATACCAATGATTGCATCTTGAAGGATCTCTCTGTTAAAGTACTGAAGTTTGCAGATGATAGAACAGTGATCGGTCTCATTCGGGAGGATGATGAGTCTGCATATAGACGAGAGGTAGATCAACTGGCCCTGTGGTGCAGCTGGAACAATCTGGAGCTGAACACTCTTAAAATTATAGAGATGATAATAGATTTTAGAAGAGGCTCTCCTATTCTACCAAGACTTGAAATGGACACCTAACATTAGAACCGTCATTAAAAAGTCACAACAAAGAATGATCTTCCTGCGTCAACTCAAAAAGCTCCGATTGCACAAGGATCTGCTGATACAGTTCTACAGAGGAATTATTGAGTCTGTCATTTGTACCTCTATAACTGTCTGGTTTGGCACAGCAACCAAACAGGACAGATACAGACTTCAGCGCATAGTTAAGACTGCAGAAAAAACAATAGCAACCAGCCTTCCTTCCACTGAGGACCTATATATTGCACGAACCAGAAAGAGGGTTGAGAAAGTATCTACAGACCCCTCATATCCTGGATATAATCTATTTCAACTTCTCCCCTTAGGACGCCACTATAGAGCATAGCATGCCAAAACAGCTAGACACAAAGAAAAATCCCCCCATGCCATCATTTTGCTGAAAACTTAATTCCCACAGCACTGTCTCATTTCTCATTTTTTTCTCATCTTCTCCTATTGGTTTCTTATGATTTATCAATTGTTATTTGTAATTTATGATTAATGATTGTAACTAAGATTATGTCCTATGACCTTGCTATTACTTCCAATTTATAGGTGCACTGTGAGCTATTATTATTATTTTATTATTATTTATTCAATTTATATACCGCCCTTCTCCTAGTGGACTCAGGGCGGTGCACAGCCAAAACTAAAATACATAACAATACAAAATTTAAAATTAATTAAAAGAATTATATACTTTGGCCCGAATTAAAACAGTGCGAATTAAAACCCATTAACAAATTAAAACTAAACAATTAATAACCATTTAAAAACTAAAAAAGGGGGGCAGGGTTCACGCCAGCCCTGCTTGCTGGAAAAAAAGAGTTTTCAGGGCACGGCGAAAGACCCGGAGATCCAATATCCTTCTTATCTCTGGGGGCAAATTGTTCCAGAGGGCGGGGGCTGCCACAGAGAAGGCCCTCCCGCTGGGGGTCGCCAGCCGACATTGCCTGGCCGACAGCACCCTGAGGAGTCCCTCTCTGTGGGAGCGTACTGGTCGGTGGGAGGCTATCGGCAGCAGAAGGTGGTCCCGCAAATACCCAGGTCCTATGCCATGGAGCGCTTTAAAGGTGGTAACCAACACCTTGAAGCGCACCCGGAAGACCACTGGAAGCCAATGCAGCTCACGCAGGAGAGGTGTCACATGGGAGCGACCCCTCGCTCCCATAATCCCCCGCATGGCCGCATTCTGCACCAGTTGGAGCCTCCGGGTACTCCTCAAGGGGAGCCCCATGTAGAGAGCATTGCAGTAGTCCAGGCGGGAAATGACGAGTGCCTGAGTGACTGTGCGTAAGGAATCCCGGTGCTAATGCACCGGAGACAAATTCCTTGTGTGTCTGATCATACTTGGCCAATAAAGAATTCTATTCTATTGTATTCTATTCTACTGTATTATGACTATACATTCTTACTAGCTTTAAGTATAGGCTTCCTCCTATATAGTCATGTATACCAGGGGTCCACAACTTTTTTGATCCTGTGATACGGTAGCGGTGGCAGCTTCAGTGGCAGGGGCGTAGTTTTGCATGCACAACCTAAATCCTGCACAAGCGCAAATGAAACTTTTGCGTCCGCGCTCTTTTTATGATTAATGTAAGATGGATTTGCCAATTTTATTTTTTTTTAAAAAAAGATTTTAAAAAGCTGTTAAAATTGCAAATAATTCTGGTTTATTTTTGTTTTTAGTTTATATAAAAGGCAAATTTCAGGCACTAACCTAACAGAGAAAATATATATTCACTTATCTGTGTGAATTAAAAAAACAAAATAAAACGGAAGAGTATCAGAGAATGTCACTATTGTTTGTCAAACTTTATATAGAAAGATTAATAGAGCTACACTCTTCAGAAACTCAACCTCACATTCAAATGTGAGGTTGAGTTTCTCAAAGCTTCTCAAATTTGGCACGGGTAGGTAAGTTTTACTGCAGGCAAAAAAAGAAATTATCTCTATGCAGAAAATCTACCCACTTCAGAAAAGAGAAATCAAACCTATGCACTTTCTCCGTTTCGAGCGCTGGTGTGACACTATGATGCACAGAGACAAGGGGCAGGGCTTGTACTGCAATGCTGTGATGTTGTCTTTATCATTTAACCCCTTCTCCTTACCCACCTTGGAGTCACTGCTGTATATTTAGCCCCAGAATTTAACTCCTATGGTTTACCCTCTCACCCGGTGAAGATGACAGACTTTGGACAATTTTCTTCCCAGCCTTGTGTTTTAGAGTTCCTACCGTACTCAATGCTTACATAATGGTTCTGTCTGGCCAGAGCACTGCTAATTCTTTCACTGATAGTTTATAGGAGCTGCTGGTCATATTTCTCAAGAAATACACTATAGGTGTAACCCTATTGGATTTGGAGCTCATAACTTGACCAACCCTAACATTTGGCTGCGCTCATTTGGTTCAAATATCAGATATCACAATCCTAATTCATTTGATTTTGAATAAATCCTATCTACTTGTGGATCATCTCATAGGCTTTGGTGAATGGCAGTAGTTGGCTGGTCTTTTGGGGATCAGCAAGTAAGCAAGTTCATATCTAGTTAGTAAGCGGGTGGAAGATTATCAAGAATCCCAGGATAGAGAATTTTCTGGAATCCCTAGTTATTTATTTACATATAATTTTAAATTACATTTATTTCGTAAAAGGAAATGCTGTTCTTTTTCAGTTAGAAAAGGAGAAAGAATTCTAAGAATGAACTGTAATCATGCAAAAAAAAAAAATATTTTAAATTTTCCATCTCTTTTTTTCCCTTCATTTTAGTACATGCATACATAGCATCTGGATTAACACAATGGTCTATTACAGGTCTAGGAGCCGTTACGGTAAATCAAGTAAGTAAAATGAATACTAGACAGATTTATACAATGACCATAGAGGTACCCTGGGAGCCGTTACGGTCCATAGGTCAAAACCCCACTTTTAAAAAAGCATCCATATATGTGTATATCTAATAGTACTCAGTCTCTAGAGTAAATAATGCATACAGTTTCAAAACAAAAACAAGGACTTTGGAGAAAATGAGGGGAAAAACAAAAACTTTCCTAAGCAGTGAATGCATTTCTGATGTGAAAACATGCAAAATTAAAGAAGTTTAAAAACTTGTAAGAAACCTTCAGAGTTTTAGAAATAATAAATCCATTTTTTTTTTAAAAAAAGCATTTTAAATGCAGGCAATTTAAAAATAAAAAAACAAATTGATACTTAGTTCATATTAAGCAAGCAGCACATTAGCGTTCAATATCAGTCATGGACTACGTTTTAATCCAGATTCCATTTCTCCTTCTAAAACAAAACCAAGGATTATAAGAAGTTGGATGTTTTTTTTATTTTGCCTTTACTGTTTTTATTGAATTGCCTGACAAATCTGAGACTAATGCTCAAATGAATGCCCCTCTTAATTATTTTCCTACTTACTGTTTTTTTTTTAGCTTCCACTTTTAATGCCGCATTTATCCCCATGGCCAATGTTGAAGAGTTCCCTTCAAATGTTCTGAGGTAACTGTCCTGCTTGAAGGAATGGCTTCACTGGTCCAAGATTACCGAAGGCTGTTTACAGCCTACACTTCTCTTTCCTCGAATTAAAAGGGCCTAATAAAAGTGAACAGCCAGCATGACACATCAAGAACTTTAAACCGTCAACTCTGACTAAGAAGAAAATCTCCCAAATTTACCCAAAATATCTGCAACACAATGGAGAAAAGAAGGAATTCATCAAAGTCTCTCTCTTAATGTAATGCTTGATTGAACTATTCCAATCCCTTTTCAAATGGGATAACCAAATGGTAAGTGACCTCAGTGTCATGTCTTAGAGAGGTACACAAGTAATACTTGTTCATTTTTTCCCTTTTATGACAGAAGGATTTTGAAGATTGTTCCTGAATATTAAAACAAAGTCTCTGAACACTATATTGCTGGGATCCTTATGTTTCCTCTCCACTGCTGGATTTTGAAGAGATGTTTGGAAAGCATACACAGTCCTGGAGAAATAATCTAGGATGAAAATATATCCCCTAAAGTTGTTTTCTTTCCATTCTCTAAATGAAGAGCCTTGTAAAGTCTCCAAGAGGTTTGGTTTTTGCCAAAATCGACTCCAGACTCCATCATTCCCTATGTTATCCTTCCTGTTAATAGTTCCCATTAATTAGAGCTGGCAGAATTTTCACTTCCTTATCAGAGACTGCCAAATCAGCGAGTGTGAAAATATTCCACTGCCAGTAACCTGGGTTGTTGGATATTTTTTCCTTCCCGAAATGTTTGTTGATTCCATGCTTGGTTTTAATTTGGAAGATTGCATTTTATATAACCAGAAACAAACAAACAGATTTATAACCAAAGATGGAAAGGCGTAACTGAAAAAAACCAAGCCAAGCATTGCAACCAAAGGCACCATTTTTATTGACTTCTTAAAAACCAAATAACCCAGCATATTAGTGTGGGCATTCTGCAACAGACATTCAGCCCCATTGTACTACTTAGAAGAGAATAAAAGGAAACCCCACTGTTTGAAATCCAGCGGAACATCCCCACAACAGAGCAGAACTGTTCCCTCATGCATGAATGGGAAGGAGATGAAAGAAAAGATGAACTTCTGAGGTGCAGCAAAACACAAAGACAACAAAAGTGCTGATCATGAGGGAATGACACAACTCATTGCAGCCAAAGGGATGAGAGAAAAAAGCTCAAAGAATGGTGTAGACAGCTAAGTGACATGTCGAAGAATGGAAAAATCTACAGAAGTGCCTTCGCTCTCCACACTTGATGAGAAACAATTAAATGTTGGTACATCTGTCATAAAAAGGATAATTGAAACCTGTTACCAGCATTATGGAGAGCAATTTAACTACCAAAATTGTAGCTCTCCAATTAAAGGTTGCCTCCTCTTATCTACACCGCTCCCTAAAAGAAAAAAAAACTTTTAACTTCTCTGTTAATTTGCCATATTAGAATTGGCTATCAATTATAAATTTCAACAGGCATATGTGAGAAGGTATATATGCATAGCTAACTTGGAATGAAGAACGAACATACGATTCAAGAGATGTTTTCCTAACACACAAGTGGCTTTTTGCAACAAAGCAAAAAAAAAAAAAATTGTTAAGACAGTAGGAGAACAGGGTAATTGTTGGAAAGCTTGTGAGACCTTGTTTACCCATCCAGATGTTCCCTCGCCTGCAAATACAATGGTGCTCTAAACTAAACTATTGACTGTTGCTTTGTTGCTACTAGCTTGAGAACATGCAGCAGCCAACCGAACTGAAGAGCAGTTATTGACCCTGTCAGGATACCTGATTAATGGATAAACGCTGTAATTGATTAGCAGGGAAGTGTGAATTAAAACGGAGAGTACAGCATCAATACTGAATTCTTGACAAAAGAAAGCTGACATAAAATGTAAAACCATTGCCTGCAGCTATATCTCAACTAAGAATTGCTTTCCTTAAAAACAGAAAGAAATAATAACTTCAGCCCAGGGTCTTGTCCTCTGAGTGGCTCAGTCTTTTCTTTTGGTAAGGATGTCATGTATTAAACCACCAGCAAAAATGTTATGCGAACAACTCATCAATCCACCTTCGTCCTTCAAACTACGTGAGGCAGTTAAAGGACTCCATTATCCTTTCACTCCTTTATCTCTTCAAAGATACTCTAGGCTTCCTTCATTGGTTGACTCTGAAGGCCCTGCCATTATGCTTGCTGAGAACTATAAATTTTGCTTGCCCCCAGTGCCCCTCTTGACAGATTGTTTCACCCAATACTATACAGAGCAAGCCTCCACATCTCTAGGGACCCAGAGCTAAAACAAGCAATAGCAACATAGGGATCAACAGCCTACTTAGATTTCAATAATGCTGCCTGGTTGTGCTACTTGCTATGGACTACAACAGGGGCCGTGGTTAAGAGGCACATTACCTCCTACAGGATCTAGCTTCAAGTCAACCTTCAGCCACAAAAATGCTTCTTTTACCATAAACTACTACCCTATTGCTGCGTAACGGGGTGAGCTCTCCTTACTTGTCCCAGCTTCTGCCAACCTAGCAGTTCGAAAGCAGGTAAAAAATGCAAGTAGAAAAATAGGGACCACCTTTGGTGGGAAGGTAACAGTGTTCTGTGCACCTTTGGCATTTAGTCATGCCAGCCATATGACCACGGAGACGTCTTCGGACAGCGCTGGCTCTTTGGCTTTGAAACGGAGATGAGCACCACCCCCAGAGTTGGGAGCGACTAACACATATGTGCGAGGGGAACCATTACCTTACTACCTTTAAGCATATTTGGGGGAGGAGCGAGATAGACAGACAGAGAAACATGCCGACCTTCTTAAGAAGAGAAACACCCAATTGCTGAACAAATACATGGATTAGCAAGTAAACAGTAAACCCAATATTTGGTTGAGAAGCTGTGTTGGGATTAGCAAGTTAGAAAATGTACCATTTTATATATTAATCTTAAGAAACAAATTTAATTAATAGTTTAGAAAAGTATAATAAAACACTTTCAGTCTTCTAAGGCATGGGTCCTCAAGCTCTGGGCAGAGGCCCACTAGTGGGCCGTGAGCTGTTTGCAACTGGGCCGCAGAAACAGCGGGTGAGGGCATGTGCATGCGCATTCCCACTTGCATGAGCAGTGAGCGAACGCATACACGTATGCAAATAAAGTTGCACATGTGTGCGTGCTCACTTGCCAGCCACTCACATAGAACCATCCCCCTACCCTACCCCATGCTGGTCCGCAAAGCCAAAAAGTTTGGAGAGGCAAAGCACAGAATCTCTGCAAGCTGGGCTCCTTTATTCATTCATACAATAGTTATTTTATAGGCAAGAATTAGATTACATTCTGAAATTATATGGTTTCTGATCGTTGCCCATCCTAGCTAAGCAGGTGGGAATTACAGTCCAAAGCATTAGCTGGTCTTCAGATGACCCACTCTGGAATAGAAGTTCGTCTTGAAATATTCCTAAATATTAGCAACTGCTCTCCTCCCTATCTGCATATAATAAATTAGCACGTTGAAAAGGTGTCTAGTCTACTTCTTTTTGAAAACAATAGAGTCTAGGCAGATCATTCAGAAAAGCAAACCCCCACTGGCCTGGCACAATTTAACATTACAGGCACCAAAAGATTCTGTTGAACATGCTGCTCAATCCCTAGATATATGGTACAACTGTGATTTTCATGCACATTCATATTGATGCAAATCCCACTGGATTCAATAGAGATTCCCCTCTTGGTACATCGTCAAGCAATTGTTTTTAGACAAAAAGACATGAATGGGATTAGACATTGTTGTTGCGTCCATAACATAGCTATACAATAATTCTACTCTGCCCAACATCCCAAATTTACTTTACAATGGGGTTCTCTCCCTTCTTAACCATTTAACTGTAGGAATGCATAAAACATAAGGAGAACATAAGGAGAACCCTGCTGGGTCAGGCCAAAGACAATTTTAGTTCAGACTTCTGTTTCTCACAGTGGTCAACCAGTTGTTCTTGGTGCTTGCAAGCAGGAGATCAAGACTTTGCCATTATTCTCCTGCACGTGGTATTTGCAGCCATGCTGCCTTGGAGAGCTAGTGCGTGTCGTGGTTAAGATGCTAGAACAGTATCAGGTAGATCTACTTCGAGTCCATCTTTAGCCATGGAAACTCATTGGATAACTTTGGACCATTCAGGTATGGGTATCTGGAGGCATGGTCAAAAGAAGCAAATAATGACACATGGTCACCATGACATAGGTACTAGTGCCAGTATTTCCATAATAATGCCACTGCAAGGAGGTTGACATTTTGGGCTTGCTGTGATATCTCAGATGCTAGTGAAAATGGTATCTTCAGCTAATGTAGAAAATAGCTACCTGATAGATTATGAAGCCTGTGAAATCCTATTTAGTTGGATTTAATTGCTGCTGGCCCTGTTTCTAGGCCAAATGTAAATTGTGCTGAGTTTCAAAACTGTCAATGGCTTGGAATCAGCGTTTTTAATTATTTGCATGAACCTGTCCTGGGCATGATCAGCAATGATGAGTTGCTCATGTCCATTAGTATCACTTGTGAGGTTGATGGACAAAAGAAGCATAGATATTTCAATTATTCTCAACTAATGTCCTCTCTCAGAAAGCATCTCTAGCATCACCCCTTCCTTTTCAAAGCCCTTATAGACTGAAGTGCTTCAGATGACCAGCCTATGTTTCAGGAGTCTATGACAACACACCACAGCCAACTTGCTATGGCCAACTCACTGTGGGACAACTCACCCAGGGACAAGAATTACACTAATATTGAAAAAATAGTGGAATAAAATCATTAAAGAAAGGATGCCAAAGGAGGGATAAAATGAAACGTGAATGTCAAAAAATAAAATATTTTTAAAATTATTTTAAATGATTAAATTGAATAGTTGAATTGTTCTGCAGCGAATTATCCTGTGGCAAGTTGTCCATGGTTGCAGCAAGTTGTCTCATTCCAATATTTCAGATTTCACATTTTAACTTGATCGCTCTTGTTTTCAGTTTGCATTACCATTTGTAAACCTATTTTAATTAATTTTCTACTAGAGAAAGATTCTATGAATTCATGCCTTAATGCTTTTTTTAAAGGCATCTTCAAAATGTTTCAATTCATTTACTAGAAGAGCGAGTTAGAAAAAATGAGCTCAATATTTTTTTTTTTTATTTGATTTATATGCCGCCCTTC